CGTTTCGCCACCACATAATTCGGTACTACACTTCCATGTAACTCGCCACCATTTTCATTTCTCAAGAAATCAAGTCAATTAAATAAATTGGTATTAATATTTGAATTCAAAAATAAAATATAAAAAAACACTACAAATGTACATTAGAAAAAAGTAAGTCAAAATAGAAAGAAATCATGCAAAATAAAACATTACTATTGTACATTTGAAAAGTCAAAATGAAAATGTTAATATATCACATTCTTACGCGATTTTTTTGGATATTATCCTCGGAGAGGAGACAATTCCGAATTTGTATGAATCGTTAAAATCAGTCCAGCGGTTCTTAAGTTATAAGCGTAGTAACTAACACAACTTTCTTTTATATATATAGATATATATATATATATATATATATATATATATATATATATATATATATATATATATATATATATATATATATATATATATATATATATATATATATATATATGATTTCAATGAAATATGAAAGGTGTGGCGGAGTTTGGTGTAAAAGTGTTTTTTTTAAATATGCATAATAGACAAAAACTACGGGCCGGCAACGCGGACCGGGCCAGCTAGTATATATATATATATATATATATATATATAATTGAATCAGTTGAGAACGCCTGAACCCGGAATATTTACGAATATATGTTGGTTAAAAAAAAAAAAATATTGCACTACTTTAATGCATATATATATATATATATATATATATATATATATATATATATATATATATATATATATATATATATATATATATATATATATATATATATTTATATATTTATATATTGTTGTTCGTTGGTAATTGAATCAGTTGAGAACGCTTGGAACGGTTTGGATAATTTTTTTCAAAATGTTTGTTCTACCCAGAGTTAGGTTTTTATTTTATAATACTGATGATTGAGGTTTGAAAATTTAATTAAACACGATGAAATGACGTATATAAAAATGCACCGGTGAATAGGAAATAAATCATAATGTGGACTTATGTTGTACTTTTTTGACAAAAGATTTCTAACCTCAAAAATGCTCTTGAGCCCTTCAAATACCTCAAATCGGCCAAGAGTATATATATATATATATATATATATATACCATTTGCAACATCAATCATCCTAAGAATAATATAAAAACCTATGCAAAGTTGAAAAGACACATATTAAATTTGGTGACCTCTATCGTAATGGTGAACGAACATACATTCTTTAGGGGTCCTTAACTTTAACATACTAGCTGAACCCAGTGCGTTTCGCTACCCCTTTTGATTTTATATGCATTCAAAATTTTAAATACGAATATTTTGTAGTTTAAATAAAATAAACAAATTAAAGAATTTAAAAAACGTATTTTTGTAAGACTTTAATGAACAAACAAAGAAATCTATCGAAATGCCAAATTTAGTCCGCGTATACGAAGAGTTTGTCCTTTGGATTTATTAATTTTATTGGAAAAGCCAAGCATGCAGGAAACTGCAATCTTTTGAAGTTGAGTGGAATTTCTGTTGCTATTAGAGAATTTGAGGTAGCTTCATACTTCCCCACAATAATCGTATGCTCAATTAAATATTTGGGTAGTTTTTTACTGTTAGCCTAATACCATAGCAAAGGCGTTGTGGGGCACAGCCATATCCCAAACTAAACAGATTTCAATATAATTTGACAAAAATTTTTTTGGACCTAATTACGTCACACCTTCGATATTTCATTGAAATTGGTGGATATTTTTTTTCTTTGATTAAATATACGAAATAGACCGAAAATATATATGGGAGGTATATCTAAACCTCAAAAAATTTCACTATTATTTGGAAAAATAATTTTTATTCCACAACACATTCGGATATTCTCTTATTCCAAATTTCATTGGAATCGTGTTTGCTGCTTTAAATATGTGAAATCGGCCGTAAATATATGTAGGAGCTATATCCAAAACTCAACCGATTTCAACATAATTCGGATTTTTTTAAACTAAATTCCGTCATTCTGTCACACATTCTGAATTTCTTTGAAATCGGATATAAATATCGTGTTTGGTGCATAAAATACATGAAATCCGCCGAAATATATATATGAAACATATATCCAAATCTGAACCATTTTTAATATAATTTGGCAAATTTACTTTCTGATTAAATCCCGTCACTCATTCCAAGATTCATTAAAATATAACGTACATATCGATTTTGGTGCATCAAACAAACGAAATCGGTCGAAAATATATATGGAACCTATATCGAAATCTGAATTGATTTCAATATAATTTGACAAATGTACGCTCGTTTTAAGTTCCTTTACACATTCCAAATTTCATTGAAATTATAGATACATAGCGTGTTTTTGGTGAATCAAATATATGAAATCGGCCGAAATATATATATGGAACCTATATCCAAATCTGAACCGATTTCAATATAATTTGGCAAATTTACTTTCTGATTAAATCCCGTCACTCATTCCAAGTTTCATTAAAATATAACGTACATATCAAGTTTGGTGCATCAAACAAACGAAATCGGTCGAAAATATATAATATATATTTCAATATAATTTGACAAATGTACGCTCGATTTAAATTACGTTACACATTCCAAACTTCTTTGAAGATACATAGCGTGTTTGGTGCATCAAATACATGAAATCGGTCGAAAATTCATATTGGAGCTATACCCAAATCTGAATCGAATTCAAAATAATTTGGCAAATTAATTTTTGTTCCAAATTCCAAATTTGGAGACTGTATAAGTAATCTTTCAATAGATATGTGCACATAAAATCTAAATTTTTGGCAGATATCTCCGATTCTGATGCTATATCTCCAGTTCCAAGTAGAATTTCAAAAATTTATATTGCTTATGTTACTTTCAGGCGATGTTGTAATACACTGGGAAATTTTCAGGAAAATCCGTGTAGCGGTTTTCGAGTCCATAAACTACAAATAAACAAACATACAAACATTTTCTTTTTTCAGATATAGATTTCTAGGATTATTGGAGTATCACGTCTCATTTAATTATAATACTATCACTAAACATTCAACCTTCTGCATGTTTTTGTAACAATTTCTACCGAATGAACTGTTATTTGACATTTAAAGTTTTCAATGTTATTAAATCTATGCGGGCAATAACTTTTGGTTTCCCATTTGGCATAGCCGCAATTGAAAAAGTACGTTAAGATTTTGATGATTTTAATAAAAATGTCCGATTTCAATGGCATTTTACACAAAATTCTGTATCAAAAATCAACTTTCGATTTATTCAGTTTTTCGACTTTTCTAGGGGCTTTTCCCAAAAATTTCCCCGTAAAAAATTTCCACTGTCCAATAATCCAATAACAAATAACCGAAAGAAAATTTGAGTCAAATCAGAGCCGTTCTTAGTAGATGTGTAACTATACTTTTTATACCCTACACCACATAGTGGTGAGGATCTCCATAGAATCACTTTCTGAGTTGATTTATGCATGTCCGTCCGTCCGTCTGTCTGTCCGTCTGTCCATGTATTTTTGTGAACAAAATGCAGGCCGCATTAATTATCCGATTGAGATGAAATTTTCCAACCAACATTTGTTTGGCCCAAGGACGAATCCTATTGAAATTGGAGATAATCGGTAAAAATTTAAATATAGCTCCCATATATATCTTCGTCCGATTTGCCTTTTATTGTGCACCAAACGTGTAATATCAGCCCGAATAGTATGGAATTTTGCACATACAACCAAATTATGCCAAATTTGATCGAAATCGGTTCAGATATAGCTATAGCTCCCATATATATTGTTCATCCGATTTGTTATTTTTGTCCACCGCAGCCGTAATATGCACTCTGTAACAACAATATTTGGGGAAATATATCAAATGCAGCTCAGAAATACATTTCCTAAATTTTATCGAGATCGGTTCAGATTTTTGTCTCTCTGGCTTTGGGTGCATCAAATATGTGAAATCGGCTGAGTATATATATGGGAGCTATAATCAAATCTGAGCGTATTTGAATATAATTTGTCAAATTTATTTTTGTACCAAATTTAGCCACTCATGCCGAATTTCATTGGAATCGGAAATACGTATCGTGTTTCGTGCATCAAATATGTGAAATCGGCGGAAAATATATATGGGAGCCATATCCAAATCTGAACCGATTTTGATATAATTTGACTAATTTATTTTCTAATCAAAATCCCGTTACATATTCCAAATTTCTTTGGAATCGAACATACATATCGTGTATGGTGCATAAAATTTTAATATTTTAATATAATTTGACAAATGTATATTTGTTTTAATTTCCGCTACACACATATATATATATATCATTGAAATTAGAGATACATAGCGTGTTTGGTGCATCAAATACATGAAATCGGTCGAAAATATATGTGGGAGCTATATCCAAATCTGAACCGATTTCAATTTAATTTGACAAATTTATTTTGGCTCCCAATTCCGTTACTTATTTTAAATTTCATTACAATTGGAAATACATATCGTGTTTGGTGCATCAAATGCTTGAAATCGGCCGAAAATATATATGGGAGCTATATCCAAATCTGAACCGATTACAATATAATTTGACAAATTTATTTTCGGATTAAATCCCGTCACACATTCCAAATTTCATTGGAATCGAACATTCATATTGTGTTTAAGGCATCAAATGAACGAAATCGTTCGAAAATATATGTGGGAGCTATATCCAAATCTGAACCAATTACAATATAATTTGGCAAACATATTTTTGTTTCATTTTGATATATATATATATATATATATATCAAAATGGAACAAATATATATATATATATATATATATATATATATATATATATATATATATATATATATATATATATATATATATATATATATATATATATATATATATATATATATATATATATATATATATATATATATATATATATATATATATATATATATATATAGCTGCATTTTAATACTTATTGCAATAATACAATTTGTTAATTTTCATTTCAATTGCTTTTTAATGTGTCATTTAATGTATTTACAAAACACTCCATTAGGATAATTATTTTTATACTTCCATAAATAATGATGATATAAATACATCAATGCAGACATTCTCAAAATTTAAAGTGCATCAGAGTATGTCTGCAACGTCAGTTACATTAATAGGTCAGTTATATATTTCATAAATATATGTGTTTATGTACATATATAGAAGTATTATGAGTTTATGTAAGTGGTTATATTTAAAAAGGTAAATTATTATTAAATTACAAAAAACTTATACCTATCAATACAAAGACAATACCATTAAACTAAAAACCAACAAAACTATTATAAAGCAATGCCTATGTTTTTATACAAAACAGAAAGAATAGTTTATGAGATATGAATTCTTTAGACTTCGGTAGATCTATTTTCTTCTGAACGAGAAAGTTTACGTTCACGTCCTGGAATCCGACCACTAACAGGTGCCTGAGTTTGTTGTTGTTGTATTTGCTGTTGTTGTAACATATGAGCAGCATGTGGATGTACGTAATTCACTTGATTAAAACCTTGGATTCCGGGCGCAATATATAACCCACCGACGGTCGCAGCCGGAGGAACCAGTCTTAATTTGGCAGCAGCCGCATTGGCAGCGGCAGCAATCACTGCGGCATTTTCTCGCGATGCGTTACTGGTTGTTGTTGATTGAAACGATATGGACATTCCACTGTCAAGAGAACCAACACTTCCTCGCCTTTGGGGTTTATCGTTTCCGACTGCAAAAACAAAGAAAAAAATTATTTTTAAAGAAGTTAATTTGTGTTCTAAAATTTAGAAGTGTTTTCTAAAAAATACATTTATAAAAGTACTAGCTGGCCCGGTCCGCGTTGCCGGCCCGTAGTTTTTTCTACTATGCATATTTGTCAAAGCATAATTATTAACAGATATGAGTGATGTAAGAGTTCACGAGCACGTACTGGTCGATTAAAAGTGCTTTAAAATACCTGTACCCATATTTAAGCCGTGGGCTTCAATATTTAAACCGTGGGCTTCAAATGTGTGGATGTGCTATATAAATCTATTAAAAAGCATATATCAATCTTATCCCCATGTGAGGGATCAAATTAATTTTTAGTATTTCGTATTCGTATCAAAATTTTCCAGTCAAATGAGCAGTAATTTGGAATTTATTGTATTTTGTACACCTCCTAATTGAGGGCTGAATGATTTAAGAATAGCAAAGTTAATTACTTTTTTAAACCCATTAACACCTTAGATTGTGCATTAGAGTCCTTATAAGTCCCCCTAACCATGTCGGTCTGTTTGTCCGCCAAAAGGTGGACTTGAGGGGGTACTATTACACGGAGAAAATTATAAAATTTGTAGATATATTGAAATTTTTGTGTAAGATTTTCATCCCCCAAATACACATGTTTAGCCAAATCCTTTGAAATATGGTAAAATCAGGAGGTACCTCTATATGCGCATTACTCCGAAACATCGACCTACATTGAAAACTTTCTTCTATCCCTTATAATCCAAGATGAGAATAGAGGCCAAATCAAAAATATAGCAGAGCAATATAGCATGTCAAAATGAAAAAAATTTCGCGTGATTTAAGTAAGTAAAAATAGTTTTATCCACCTCATAATTGAGGGCAGAATGATTTCAGAATAGTCAAATATAAATACAATTTTACACCCATTACCGTAAGATGGGAAATAATTTTATTTGCCATTTAAATTGTAAGTTGGAGAACCCATAAAGTCCATATTTTTCATCATAGTATAATTCAATGACGATTCTATAAATATTCGGTCCCGTGCTACTTTCTTATATTTGTAATTTGTTCTTGTTTCCACAATTCATTTCATATAGATGTACCTCCTAAATCTACGTTCCCAACCAATATTCTCTTGGGGGTTACAAATTCAATAGAATACAAAATTTTCTTTTTTGACCGCACATTAGTTGTGAAAGTGGACTTGGGGATACTCCCATGTGGGGACTTTACTTAAATAAATTCTTATGTGGCAATTATCTGTATGATGGTTCCCTACCCCAGGGTAGCATAAACATAATTTTTTAGCTAAATCAATTGATGAATGTGATCAAGACCAATATGGGCCCTACTCTGAAAATTTCAAATCCAAGAGGTTCTCTACCCCCTTACAAAGATGCCAAATAAGAGCCAAAAAATGAAAAAAGTGACCAAGACCCCAAAAATAGCTTAAATCATACGATGGTTATATAAATATGAAATCGGGTTGTAACCTTATACGTGAGTTATGATCGATATCATGACCTGCAAAATGTTTGGGAAGAATTTCTGGAGGGATAGAAATCCTTTTCTAATTAAAAGTTCCATTCGCTCTACTATTTTGCACCCTTTATATTTGGTATTTTACTGATTGTACTCCCAAAGAATTTTGCATTTTGAGCTCTTATTGGACGGATTATTGTCACATGAAAGTAGTAGGCCCACGCTTTGAAATGAACCCCATTAGGCTTTTTCGGTCATTTTTGTTTGTTTTAATGTGTTCGCATCTTCCACCTGAACCACGATGTAGGCCCTGGAGTTGAAAGGTAAATATCAGTTAACATCCTATTTCGCACTTATTTTATTTTTTTGGTGAAAAATTGTATATAGTGAAAAATTATTCTTTATTTTTTCCCAAAAATCCACTGAATTCAATATGATAATACAAATTGAAAAAATTGACAAAAGAAGAATAACAAATTGAAAAAATCGTCAACTTGTTCGCTGATTTTTTACAGAAAATGTTTAAAGGTTCTTACAAAGTTTGTCAATAGAATGTACTATTATTTTTAAATTCGATTCCATTGAAAAATTTTTTCGAGGTCAGCGGAAAATGTGCACCTTCGGCTAGCCACCAGAACTCAAGCGCCGGCCATGGTGATGATATGATCTAAAGGGCTTTAATTCACGTAAACAACACTTTATACTTCCATTATTCCATTCTGTTGTTGTTGTAGCAGTAGTACATGTATGTGTTTGCGTTCTGCTAATCTGGTTCCAGCTCCAGGTTTAGAAATTCGACTACTTTATCGGGCTGTAGCCAGAGATCTTCTGGAGTGAGTTGGGTAGGTTTGGCTGTGCAATTAAAGAGGTGTAGCGTATTGTGCGGGCCTGTATCGCACGCCGGGCAGGCGTAACGCACATCTTCATCAATTCGTGCCCAATACGAATTGAGACGACTACACCATCCTGAACGTAATTGCGCCAAAACTACCCTGGTTTGTCTAGGCAGCTGACGTTCTTCAGCTGCAATGGATGGGTGTGGACTCCGAGGACGGCATTCACTTTAAAACTGCTAATAGCATCCGCGACTGCATCGGTGTGAATGCCACTCAGACCTGCCTGATAGGCTTCTTGATCTAGAGGTTCTCTCTTATAGCGCTGGACCTCCCTCTCTAGATCATGTATGTCCTTCCTGACACGCCTGAGTGGGGGAGATTTATCCACCATATGATGGTTGGGATGACTCTCACGGTAACACCCAAGCAGGTACTGCAACGAAAGCATATGATTATGCTGACGTAAGGGAAGGACTTTCGCCTCCTCATGTAGATGGTCCACTGGTGTCATGAGGAGGCACCCTGTCGCAGTTCTCAGGGCAGCGTTCTGGCAGGTCTGGATATGCTTCCACTGCGTAGCACTAGTATTCGCAGACCACACTGGAGCCGCATAGCTGACCACAGACCGACCTATCGGTCATCAACAAGGTTTCTTTGTCCGCACCCCAAGAGCTGCCGGCTAGCGCCTTGAGGACCTTGTTCCTACTTTTCATCTTGTCGCAGATAGCTGTGGCTTGCGACTTGATCATGCTGTCGAACGTGACCCCAAGAATCTTGGGGTAGTTCGTGGTCGGTATTAGATTCCCCTGAACATTCAGCTGTGTTCTCATCTCCGCAGACCATGTGGTGAAGAATGTGGCCGTTGATTTCGTGGCGGATATTTTCATATTCCTCGCGTGGAAGTATGCGGCAAGCTCCGTGAGATAGGGGTTCAACCTTTCGCATATGTCATCGACCACTGGACCCGACGCCATGATCGTACAATCATCCGCATACGTTACGATCTCAATGCCGTCTGGAGGGCGAGGAATTCCGGAAAGGTAGAGGTTAAACAGTTCCGGAGATATCACCCCACCTTGGGGAACTCCCTGTTTCACTCTACGGGCTTTGGACTTCTTGTTCCGGAATTCCACGTACGACTGGCGTCCACACATATAGTTGATTATCCAACGTTTGAAACTTGGCCGGAGGGTAGTTCTCTGCACGTCCTCGAACAGTGTGGCATGATTGACCGTATCAAAACCTTTAATAGGTCAATGGCTACCAACACTGTTCTGTCACACGGCCTGTTCTGGTTCAGTCCTCTACTAATATGTGTGGAAATGGCATGTAATGCTGTTGTGGTACTATGTTGTGGACGGAATCCGTGCTGGTGGTTAGCAACTATATAGCTTCCTCTAATGCTGGGGAGGAGTAAAGCCTCAAGAGTCTCTGCTACTGGCGACAAAAGCGAAATCGGCCTGTACGATTCGCCTTTACTGGCATCCTTGCCTGGCTCCAGTAACGGGACCACCCGGCCCATTTTCCAGGTGTCGGGCACTATGTGGGTGGCTAGCGACAAATTGAGAACTTTCGTTAAGTACTCGACTCCCGGCGTATCCAGCTGCTTCAACATTACCATTGAGATTCCGTCTGGGCCCAACGCTTTGGATGACTTAGCGTTACGGATGACATTTGCAACATCACCCATCGTAAACTGTGGTGGTTCCTCCTCGGCGGGAAGAGATCTGATACGACGTAGTACTCTTTGCTTCGCCCTATCGCTCTCGGGGTGCTTGACAAATTGTCGATTAAAATATTCCGCGCACCTCTTCGAATCAGTCACCGTTACGTCGTTAAAAGTGACTGAGGTCCTATCATCCTTTTTTCCAGGGTTCGAGAGCGACTTAACCGTTACCCACAGCTTACTCATATCGGTTCCAATGTTGCAGCACTTCAGATGGTCTACCCACTTTTTCCTTTAATGCTCCTGTACCAACCGGTTGACTTCCACTGTCAAATCACAGATTCTAGGATCAGTTGGGTTGGTACGTCGGAGATCATCACGCTAGTTTGCTAATCCCGCTGCCTCTGCTGGGAAGTTTGGTCTTATCTCGGGTATTCGACCAGCAGGTATATAGCGAGCGGCTGCAGCTTTGATGATGTTTCGGAAAATCCTTTCTGCTACCCGAACATCAGAAGGGTTGAGGAGTTCTCTGAAGCGGCGGTTGGTGAATTCTCTGAACTCTGGCCAGTGAGCTTTCCCATGGTTAAGGAAAGTGCGGCGTTCAGAGGTTATGAGATCGGGCGACCTGCTTATGGAGACGATTATCGGGAGATGGTCTGAGCCAAGAAAAATGACGGGTTGCCAAGTCACGTCATTTATCAGACCGGGTGACACTTTGGTTAAGTCTGGCGAACTGTGACACTCTCCTCTTATTCGGGTGGGGGCATCCTCGTTAACCGTGCAGAATGTGGAGCAGTCAATCTGCTCTGCCAGCGCTGATCCCCTCTGGTCATTACCTAGGACGGAATGCCACAATTCATGGTGGGCATTAAAATCCCCTAGTACCAGGCGGTTATTGCCTACCAATAATGGGCTAATATCAGGCAAATAACATGGTTCACAGCATTAATCGGCGGGATATACACATTAAGCACCTCTACCTCGGCAGTTCCACACTTGACTGCTACCCCC